GCACTGTGATTGACTGTTTCGACTGGTGGACAATTTTTCGGTCCTGAATTCAGCATCGGTATCATGGAATATATATTTGTCAAGGGATGTTTGCCATGATTGTGCGGCAGATTCGTTCAGTCATTGTGAAGCCCGGGTCACGAAATTCGAAGTGAACTGATCCAAAAGTGATCAGTGCGTTGTTTTGAAATCTCATTTCTGTTTTTCTATTGCCCTTGTAAAAATGCGTAGTCGTGGGGCGTTACCTGGCACAAAGACCAGACTGCTTTGACTCGGTTCGCCATTAGCCTGGACAGTTTATTTCAGTTCAGTTCAGTTCAGTTTTTAAAACCATTAATCATGCAATTTGGTGCACCAGTTTTGGTTGTTACCTGTAGTGCGAAACCGAAACTGACTGATNCGAACTGTCGTTGACAACCACGTTTTCTCCTTTCGTTTTAAAGGCTGTACAAGTTGCGCGATGCCCAGCGCACTGATACAAGACACTGAGAACGAAGACCAAAACAGCACCCACAAGTAACATTACCATTTTGTATTGTAATCATTTCATAAACCTATAGTGTTGCTACGTTTTGTACCAAAACAATTTTGTCCTAATCCGTCGAGTCTTCTCCCTGACCGAAATATACTACAGTCTTATAGCTGCCCATTTCGATGAAAGAGCAGAACGCAGATTGGAATGTTGAAAGCAAATTCAAGCGAGCGTTAGAGAATTCATTTTTATTGAGGTTACAAGAATAATGCATGAACTCCATTGTTTGCTGCACCCAGCCATATCACTCAGTATCTCTAACCCTCTGTAACCATGATATCAAGATCACCAGCCAAGGAGTCTAACAGGACCTATTTGACCCAGGCACCTCGTTGAGGTTTTTGTGACAGGTCTTCGTTTTACCGCCATTAATTTTTTCCGACCGCTACCTTCCTCAGCAAACATCGTTCGTGGCAATCTATCTAAAGACATGCGTAACAGACGCCCCAACCAGCATAATCTATGGAGGTTGACAATTTTCTCCATTGGGCGACAGAAGTTACCTAAAACTCTGTACCTAACCTCGGCATTGCTTGTCCGGTTACCCCGCTGGGCTCATGCAATCCGACATGGATAGCGGTCTTCACACACCGACAATCTATGTTTATCCTGTTCCCGTAGTGGTCAAGTCTCTGCACCGTGGAGTAGAACTGGCTGAACTGCTACAGTATACACTCAGCACTTCACAGACAGCCAGATGTCGCGGTGTTGCCACGGCTGCCTCAAGTTGGCAACTGCCAACCGAGCTTTCTGTATGGGTGCCGACACTTAATCCGGGACGCGTAGGCCAGGTGAGGTTTTCTGTCCGAGTCCGAGTTCGCGTTATTCTATTTTGATTCTTATTCTGAATATTACAGATTGACAGGTTCCTTGGAATGAAATCTGTAGTAAATGTCGCGTACAGGGGACAGAAGGGTAATTGCATGACGATAATCAAGTGGTTAGAGAGTTCAGCTTACGGACGGTTCATTGACAAGGCAAATATATTTTCACTGAACACAGTGCACAACGGAAGGAATAAGACGGGTATTGCTCCAGACTTGCCGCTAATATTCCATAATGTGTCACACATAGGCCTTGTAAGAAGCTGAAATTCTGGAAGAAGTGGTTGGGCTGTGTCGTGTAATCTGGCATTTCCACATTTGTACACAAGCCTTAGTTCAGACTGTGAGTGTTATGATGAAATAGGTGAATGTTCTTGAATTTCCAAACGCAACCTTCGAATAACCAAGTTTTGACCGCTGAGGCGGTGGTTTTGGATGCAAACCGCAATTCTTTTGGGGCTGATGTCCAGTTCAACGGATCCTGCACCCTTTGGACAGGGTCGAACGTCCATCTTGTGGATGATGGGCGAGTGAGGAGGCGTAGATGGAGTTACGATAGAAGAAGAGTCAAAGGTTAGGAAAATACCTCAGCCTATTAAGAATGTTCAAAGATCATATCCTCCGTGACGTTTTCAACGGACAAAATGAGCTGTTAACGGAAGGACTGTTTACAGATTCGTCCGTGAATCGTCCAAAAAAATGTCTTCTCCCTGGGTTTAAATAAACGAAGGATAAAAATGTAAATTAGATAATAGTGGCCATGACATTCCCCTCTAAAGTTTAAAATTCATGAGAATTCATATTATGCCAAGGAGAGGATACCTGGAGGCCGAGAGAGACAAACAGTGGGACGAGAACAATCACAATCCTCACACCTCGGCTAGTGATCAAACGTTTGCAAAAGAAGGTCCTAGTTAAGGCGAAGAGGACTCAGTTGCGGGATCCTATTCTCAACAGGTTGACATCTCCCATTCTTGTTATAGATGCACGCAAGAATTGCAATCGATGGTGATGTTATTTCACGTGCATCATTGGGAAATCGTCGGTTTCTATAATACTGCCACTTTTATGTACAAGGGAGAATCAAGGTCTAGTCAAAGCATTGTTTATCCTTGCAAATCTTAATCTCATACATACGGTGTATGGTCTTAAATTGCTTGATCTGTCCCTACAGTTCGCATGCCTGGATGGGAGCATTGTGGTGAATCAGGTCATGTCATAACCCACTGCGAGGTCGATCACGTGTGTGTGGACTGTGCATAATGTTATGTTCGGACTAGACGTTGGAATTACGAGATCGACTTTTGCTTAATCCCCAGTGATAACGCGGAGAGAGAGAACACAGCTTGAGACACTAGTCAGTGTGTCTATTTTTTCGATTAGATTTCTATCCGCCTATATATACAGAACAAGTCACGCATGCGAGAACGGCGTTCAGTGACGCACCAATCAGACTGTGTCCTTGACATATCGATTTACCAATCGGACATACTCTGGTTGATTAATTCTGTGATCATCCACTCGGGCCCAGCTTGTCTGGAGCGTGGCGAGTGTGCGGGTGGCCTGACTCGGAGGACGGGTTGCTTAGGCTTGGTCCTAACGCATACTACTTCTAATCAATGCAAAGCTGATTAATTGGACAATGTAGAAGTAGTCAGAGCTGAGGAAATCGACTTTGGTTGTATTCTAATTACTCGAAATTTTATGAAGGGATAGGAGGATGATTGGAATATAGAAAGTAGCGTCGAAAATAAAAGGGAGAATTTTAGAGTACTAAGGTTGCAAAGAAATTGAGACAATGCACGAATACCACTGATTGTAACACTCAGTCATATCACTCAGCGTCTGTTAACACCGGTTACCACCATCTCGAGATTCCCATCCAGGAAGTCTTAAGTGACCTATTTAACTGAGTCTCCTGATAAGGGTTTTCATACCCTCGTGCCAGGTCGTATTTTGACCACCCTTGGCGATTTTTCACTCACTGCCTGCCTCAGCAAGTATCGAGCGCCATGACAACCTATTTGGTAACATGCGTAGCTTTAACGCTTGATAAAGAGCGAGTAAATTTGTTGTTGAGTTTAGGGGACCAATCATGTGGTAACCAGATCTAGAATGGGACAAACCCATCACATGTCTAGTTGATTTTGTGCAGATAAATCGACTAAACCGTTGATGGGAAAAATGATACATATATTATAATAACAATGCGAATTTACCGAGTGTAAACTTTTGAAATCATATTTGGCCACAACATTTTCTGTCACTGTTTGTATGGTGCGCATGACATACGGTCTGAGCTGTGCAATTCGCACAGTCAATGGTTCCACTCCGGTGGGGATTAGAGCGGACGGTTTTGTCAAATTGAACTTCAAATTTCTCCGGTCAAGCAAAAAAGCATCTGTAAAACCATCAATGGGTGACAAATTTCGATTCCCCAATCCTTTTTTTGTCCCGGGCAAAGTCAATTGCTTCACCCCGTTCGGTTCTGTGCTAGGTCTTCCAGTTTGAGGCATGGATTGTGTTTCCCCAATTACCAAATGGGCCATATATGACGGTATCAATTGAGAACTGAGCAACTGGTTCCCAATAACCAACGGCTGATCCAACCCAGTACGACCGGCGGTCCCGAGTAGCGGATAACAAACAAGAGCACTTTGCAGTAGGGGGCATGTAATGGGAATCGATTCTCGCGTGAGCAAATGACGGATAAATAATTCCAGTGATTTGTGTCTGCTCAGGGATTGGGCAAAGTGGAGACCGCGATATTTGTGCAATTCTTGGAGTAGTATATCTGCAAACTGGAACGGAATGCCATGGTTTTTAGTAGACAAATTCGCTAATAACACGGGGCTTGTTGGAAATGATTTGTATCAGACCCCTTCGGGGACTTTGTCGGTTTTGTTTGAGTTTCACAATACTTGTGTGTGCTTTTCTGTAAAACGAGGAAGTGATTATAGTACTAGACTGCGGTAGACGGTTGTGGTTGATTCATGCTCATGTTACTGCTTGTGGCTGAGACATCCCCTCCGAGGGTGGTAAGCATGTAAAGAAGAGTTAGAATGGTCTTGACTTGGCGTCAATAATTGTGGATTGTGAACAGCAGTAAACTTGATTAAATTAATGAAGTGAACTAATTAATTACCATCAATTGTCACTTCAGTTCAAACCTGATATGAGCTGATTGCCACGGTAGTAACACACACACACACAAACCTTCCATGCGATGGGTCCGGAGTTCAAAGCCCGGATGGGATGATTAATGTGCAGCAACAAGGAAGAGTGAAGTTCGAGTCCAGATTATCGAAGTGATTGGTTGACTAGATGAATTGAGGATTGTGCGTGAAGGTGAAATTAGAAGGGTAGTCAGGTGAAATCAATTTACTCAGTAGTGTTTATTTTCCCGGTTTGCAGTCCTAAAGATTGGTCTTATCAATCTATGTGTGCGTGTGTATATTTCGTAAACGTTTATATCGGTAGGTTATCTAAATCGACGTAAGCGCACGTAGAAAGTGCTTGACTCATTTCGGATAACTGAAATATCTCCTTTCAATTAGCTTACGTACGAGTCAACAGTAGTCAGTCGAGTACAATCCGTCCTGTTTGATCCAAGACATCAGTGCAACTGTTCTGCATAAAAGCAGGTCCGCGTATACCAAACATTGGAATTATTTATTTAGTTAGTTTTCTCGGAGACATTTCTATTTTTTTAATTTCTACCTTACTAGAAGTCACCATAGGTTTTGTTTATTGGGATTTGCCAAAATATTTGATCGAGTAAACGACCAAAGTCTACTGTGAATACTCGACAAATACTGAATAAGAGGTTTGGTTGACGACTAGGTCAGGGTGTTTCTCTATCCAGAGAACAATAAAACATCCACATAATTATACGTCACTACAATAATGATGCTTACTGTTATACCCTTGGAAACCATATACTACCACGTGCTAATGATGAAGCTAAGATACAGGAGAACATAGAATGTTCCATACAATGTGCCATCCATCGCTTCAAAGCACTCTGAATTATTAAACCTGCTTTCGGGCAGTATAAAATAGTGCTGCTTTTATGTTTGTTGTAGAGCGTCCATACATGCCAAAGCATGAACTACACCGTTCAAATATGGAATCCATGGTTGAACCGCCACAAGAAGGCACTAAGTTGTCCACAAAGTTTCACAAAAATGGCAAAAGGTCCGTATAACAAGATGTATTCTGAAAGAATTCAAATATTGAGGCTTTATTCGTTCCCGTACCGCTGACTTTGAGGGTATCTAATTTTGACCTGCCACATATTGCATCAACCCAATCAACTTCGCCGTTTTGTGTTGAACTTATGTCAAAATAATCATCTCGGGGACACCCATTTAAGTAGAGGTTCCAGATCAGTCACCTAGATTGTCAGCATCGCTCATTTACAGAGTGTTCAATGTATAGATTTCTCTTCTACCGCATATTGTGTGTTCATTGTTCATTGTGTGTTGCATTAGCTTGATAACGGTCTTAAACACTTATCATTTCAACATCTGTGAGTGACCATGCTATTTTTATGATCTTCTATTTTTGTTGACGGTTGATCACAGTGATAACTGGAGCGTCTAATAGCTTGATAATGTTTAGCGTATGCTTGCTTATCGTCTAGCCTTTCCTGCTTCTTTTTCGCATCTATCAACACAATCAAAACTAAATTAGCTTCTTATATAAGTTGTAATTGTGAAAACACAGCGATATCAGTACAGGTGAAAATAAGCCGACGTTTCGGTTACCGTGGCTAACGTTTATCAAGGTGATTTCACAATCGAATGAGTCAGGAACGGTTTGCCAACTAATTTCTCACGCATTGTGTCTGTACGTTTGTATGTTAGTCTGTGTTTGTGTCTGCGTGAACGTCACCGATCCGGAATGGGGCGGTGGGCCCATCCGTTTGTGCAATGTTTTCCTGTGGGATCGGGGTTATCTGAGGTCAAATCAACGCTTGAACGAGTGCTGACACTTGACGTTAAACTCTGTCCAGATGCTCGAAACCCCTGCCCAGTCGTTTTGGTTTATACACCCGGGAAGGACACTAATTGCCAAAGCCTCGGCATATAGGCGCTCGATGTTTGTTCCAAAACCTCGTTGGAGAATTTTCGTGTTGAACTGCGTGGCATCAGTTGCTCTCGATTTTTCTCTTCTTTGATGTTCGGTGACTCTCATCCTAAGCTGTCTGCGTGTTTGTCAGAAATATTCTGCTGGGCAATCCCTGCACCTGATCTTGTAAATGTAGTTGCTTTGGTCCTGCATCTGAATTGGTCCTTTGACTTTGGACAACTTGCGTTCACTAATCTGCGTCATTTCTGGTACCAGCGCGACAACCCTTTCACTAAAAGGTATGTGCCATTGCATTGCTCAAAAACTATGTATTCTGCAGGGTATCAATAAGAGAAATGAGTGCTTACCTTGTTTTGATCGAAACACCAGTGTTTTCACGCTTTAGAGACAATTGCGAGAGCTGGCGTTCATCAGGTTGTTGTGAACTACCGTATTTGTAGATGTGTATAAATTTACTGTAAGATAATGTGTCAATGTCAGCTCTTGTGCACTTTCCTTACCCAGACAATAACGTAGATTACAAGTTAATTCCATTCACACTGCATGTGTACGGACGTCATACAGCTTATGCCAAGGTCATAGTGAGAGTCAGCTTCAAACGTCACGTGGATAACCTAAACGAGTACTAACAACATGCCGAAAATCAGTGAATGAGAACGCAAACTATTCCAGTCACGACTGAGATGTGCCTATAACCTGTGACTGATGTATGGTTGGATGAAAGAGAGGCGATCGATAGCTTAGTCCACCAATAATTACCTATAACACATCATTGGGATTAATTAGACCTCAGGTCGTCAAGAGCCAACGTTAGATACAGGACTTTATCACCGGTAAGTAGCTGTTGGTCATATGAAACACAGGTAAATCGAATACAAACGAATAAGCTGCAAACTAGTTATTGTCTTATTGCTAAATGTATGATTGGACATAGTTCACCTGAGACAGAAATACAAAAGTCATTTTTAGATACAAACCACTAGACGAAAAAAGACCTGCAATTGGAGATTGTTCAGACGAATGATTTGCAACTCTCGGAGATCAAGCCGAATCATGTCCATGATACGCAAATAGAGTGTTGAAAAAAAACCACAATTGAGCCAATATCCCTAAATGTGCAAAACTCTGAAATCACTATGTTTTGTGTCCCACGACACACAGAATTTAAACTCACTTTAACGGCGATAAAAATCACTTTGAGTTTTTTAGCTGCACTGGCTTGATTAATTGCACTTTCCCATTCATCTTCTAATCGTTTCTGGGCAGCCATTCGCATCTGATGCAACGCGAACAACGATTGTCTACGCTCGCGCATTGCCGTAAATCCTGTGTTACTATTCTCCTGGTTGACAGGTTTTGTTAACTTTGGAAAATTGTTAGTAGTTGGTGACAAACATTCCGGTGCTGCATTTTCATTTGACTTCTTTTTCGCAATATCTTTCGAAACAATGACCAGAGGTTCTTTTCTCGATTTTATTGCTGTTTGAGTTTTGATCCCTGTTCGATCGATCTGTGGTATTTCTTTCGTTAGGGGTTTGCTTATTTCATCGGACAAATCTTGATCCTGTCTCACTAATACCTCATCGATCTCATCTTGTTCGGTTGATTCCGGTGTGAAATTGACGCCACTAGTTTCTCGCAATCGATGCAAAATATTCCGATACGTTTGCTCCCATCGATCCACTTCAGTCCATGCATTTGATACACATGTGGAATCCGGTGGAGATCGGGGTAGTGAATCCAACGAGGACGATTGACGATTGGTTTGATGTGTTCTAATTGGGGTGTCACATTTTGTTTCCTCCTCACACACTTGTTGTAAACAGGTTCGAGGAGAGACAATCTGGGAAATGGAGGTCATTCGATCAGTTTCCTCAGACAGATCTGAATCGATTTTCGATAAGTGATAAACGGGGGGTAATCGGGTCAATTTGTCAATCGATTCAAACGAGTCATTTTTACTCGATACTTTATATGTATCTGCAGCCTTCTGATCTAATCTTGAGAGAATTGCACTCAAATCCTTGTTCACCTTTGAATGTTTCGGTATCTGTGATCCGATTGATCGTTGTACACGTCGATGCACGTGACTTAAAATGACTGGTGATTGGTTCGAATCACTATCACGTGAACATTCGCGAACTCGGTCGGTTACAGGTCGGTCAGGGATTTGTGTTGTCCGACCTGGGACTACGTCCTTAGTGGGTGTGCTGTCAGTGGACAGTTTACGCAGTTCTGCATCCCAGTAGTCGGCAAAACGTTCATTCAGCGATTGTTGTTTTGTCCATGAAGAGGCTTGTTTATGAAAGTGTCTAAGAGATTGTTTGATTTTGTACAAAGGAGGCAGGCGCCGTACGATTTCAAAATAATCATATGTGAAACGATTGCTGGTATTTTGTTGTCCCTCCATATTTGTATGCGTTTGTAGAATGTATGATGCAAGTAATTCTTGGCTGACAGCTGACAGCCACTTCCCATTGACCCAAAAACTAGCTGACCAATTGGCCGTCTTAAATGGTGTCAGGTGACTGACTAACTGACTGACTGATTGACTTTTAAATCATCTGTTAGCATTCAGATCGAATTCCATCTATGGACCAAAGAACTAAGAACTACCTTCGTGTATACTTGATAATGAGAAAGTAAAAGACAACCACGTTTGTGTATAGTGAGGTTTCGTACATAGAAAAAGCGAAATTGCTTGATCAGCTGTCCGGTGGCTAAATGGATAGTATGCTTGCGTTCTACTTGTGAGACCCCGGGGCTTGGTTCTCACCTAGACGGAGTGAAGTGCACTATTGATGGAGACTATAAGGTCGAAATTTTCGCGCATTGGTGCCAGTCTTTTCATTTCGCATTTCCTTTGGCTTCCATTCAACGAAATTCCGCAGTGAACCAAATAATCTACTAGATCAAACGTTTGTACAACCGTGCTAGCAAATAACAGCTCACCATTTACGCCAGGGAACATTGGGAAACAAAATGTGACTAACATATCTTGTGGACAAATTGCTATTCAAATGTTTTGCTAATGCATGCAATACACTCGAGAATAAAATCAAAACGAATGTCTGGTTGGAGCGATTCTAAGAGCTAAGGTTTTGATTAAACCAATGAAGTTATTAAACATTTCATTGTTTTCATGTAAAATGTTTTCTCTATGCATGTTCTTGGGGACTACACGAAACAGATGCTTTCCCTTAGAGGAAACCTAGTATTGTTCCAACTATATACCAAAAGTGGCTCTTTAATCTTTCTACGGCAGCAATGATATGGATTTTATTCGTCATTAGCCAATATACTTTCAGTCACAAAAACGTGCCCAAGAACAGTAATATGCGTTGTTTGAATCAAAATAATCATTGTAAGTCACCAAGAAGATCATCCAAATCAGTCGCGTGCTCCAAGTGGATTAGTAATTTTCTCTCACAACACTTATTCCCTGTGACAGTTTCAGCGGAGTGCTCAACACTGATATTGCTTACAAGCGGAATTTCATGCTGATTGGCTTTAGGACTAATTCCGTTTATTTTCGGCATTAATGACCGGCTAAGGTAGGGATTTGAGAATATCGGGAGCCACCAAATTCAACTGGTTAAATCGGTACGCAGTGGCGGAACATAAACCCTGGGGTGTTTACTTAAACTACAATTGAATCTTTATTTTTTTAAAACCAACGGTGGTCTTTCTCGCGCGGTAAGAACAATTGCTCTTATTCCCCAAGGGCATGATTGCCCTTTTACCGAGAGGGATATCTCTAGTCGACAGGAGATTCATAGTTATTTTCGCGAATGTTCCTTCCGATCGGTGAAACAATTGATTATTTGTGTACCTATATCGAATGTAACCGGATTGATGTAGGCCTACTGACCTAACAGAATTGTTATTGTTCTTCACTGACAATGTGTAATTAAACTTCATTCAGGAAATCTATCGCAGAAGAACGGTGTAGCAATGAAGTCTCCTCTAGGGCCCTTATTTGCCGATGTTTTCATGTCTAAAATAGAAAGAGGTTCACTTAAAACACAGCGAACAATGCGTACCATAGAAACGTTACATAGACGATGTTTTGTGCGTTGTCGATTCTACAACAAAGTGCCAAAATGTACTTGATCATTTCAATGCTGTTCATAGAAATTTGAAATTCACGATTGAAAATGACGCAAACAGTCAACTAGGATATTCGCTGTGATGACGGATCCATCAGGCGGTCAATACATATAAAGGCGACTTGGAACAGGCAGTACATTCGTTTCCGTAGCTTTGTACCACTCACCCTGCGTGTTTGCGAAGTGGAGCAATTAAGTCAAACACAAGTGCGATGGTGTCGCATCCTGCCGACACTATTCACATTGTAAACATCACCGAAGCGTTCCGACCCCTGTATAGACTTAAGACGGGACAGTATAGACACGTGCGGTTTTGCAATCTATCCACAGCGGATGCAGTTTCAATCCATCTTCACAATCCCCCTCTGTGGGCTCAGAAACAACTTGTGCAAGCACTCAAGCTCCCATGGCCGGATTGCCGACAAGTTGGGGACCAATTATGACACAAACTCTTGAATACTTAAATTAAGTTCCCTCTCGTTTTTCCTTGTAAATCTTTCTCTGATACTAGTCATATTTATTGTGTTGTAATGGCATGAATAAAAGACACTGAAAACGAGCTTGTTTGCCAATTTGTGTTCTCGTTATGAGCTCCGTGGGACTGTTTAAACAGTTATGTGATACACATGGCAGTGATGAGGATCGTTCTATGCCTGATGCATTTCAATGTTATTCTCGATTTATTTTCGGTTTTGTTATACAATGAAACTACTATTTGAAATTATTGATACACGAACATTTCATTTTAATAGTACTCATGAAAGGAAGTCAGTCACGTCTCTTCCACTATATTGCTGGTGATAGACGTAAAATCAGTGTGCCCTACCCCGAAAATATGCTATAATCTACTGACTACTCATGAGTAACGTGAACAACTACTGAGTACACAGAAAAGGTTTAAAAAATGAATAAATGATTCGTTAGTCACAAACACATGTTTCAGCCATTTACATGTGTGTACCAACCGCTTCCACATAGGTTTCACTCTATAATGTGACCGATGACATCCACTCAAAATCCTTTGTGCACATAGACTGAACCTGTTCTCACGAGTGTTGCAGAGATGTATTTAGAATCCCATACCCGAAATCCCTACACAACCAACAAGACTCCATGGAACAAATGAGTAACAATCGTACGGACTGGTCAACGTTTAACTTAGAGCTCCACTTAACCACGAAGTTCATGGTGACGATTGCAGATCCACGTGATTGTAGGATTGGGAAACTACATCAAGGTGTCACTTCCGGCTTCTGATTCATGAGTTATGCACGTTCATACTCCGGCATCATGACTACATTTCTGTTCTATAGACTAGGTTCACGGGAGCGGGCAATGCCTATTGCTCATTGGCATTGCGGTATGTGGATGTCAACAGAGCTCAATCCTCGAACCATCAAATGCAATTTAATCAAATTCTCGTTATTAACTACTGATTTAAACGTCCAAACAAAACTGAAGCAATGGGCCCGTATGAACCATATAGGCAACAGCCTTTCTACTGAAGTAATGATAAAAAAGCTTTGACGAATCTATATAGCGGTGATTTTTGTGAATTGTGTATGCTCAGTAGATGGAATGGTTCCGAATGTGGCGGATATTCGTATTTCGTCAGTGGTGCTTAACCTCGACTATGATGAGATCTAATAGAATTAAACAAAATTTATTTACAAATTGACATTATTAATAATTAAGATGTAAAGTTTGCATACACTAATAGTGGATTGGCTTGCTTTTATTCTTTGGGACGTTTTGAGTCCCTTCGGCATCAAATCTACCAACTTTGCTACGAAGTTATTTTCTATGTTGTGCTCCATAACGTTGCGCACTTTCGCCTCCAATGTCCAACGTACAGGTGGTACATTGACATTTCTCTTCAAAACGGAAAACTGTTTTTCAATCACATTGAGATCCTGGCTATTAGAGGGAAGTTGCATGAACTGCAATTTGGAGCCATGCATCTTTTCTGAGATCTAAAAGGAAATAATAAGTGAACCAGTCTCCTTAATGAAACAAACTTACTAATCACTCGTGAAACACGACACGGAGCGTTATTCTGAAAAAAAATTTCCAAACAATTTTTACGAAATTCTGGAAAGATTTACCTCACTACGGATACAAATTTCCCAGTATTTATGGTGCCTTTGAGTGATGTCTATGTACAAGACTGACCATGTTTTATCGCTGCTCAGATAAGTAAACTCGACTGGTGAGAAATTTTCTCATTTTGTGGTATAAATCCTTTTGGGAAATTCTCACCTCAAATGCTACTAAATCAGGGTGGCATTTTATTTAGTGTCTCGTCGATAGAGCACAGAAAAGATGTGGTCCCTTGGATTACGAAAAAACGTTTCACGCTATGTTTACGAATTAATTGCGAGATTCCCGCTGAATGGGAGCTGAAATTGTCGAACAAGAAACACAATGAATTTCTGCAGCATACCCGCATACAATTAGAAAGGTGCAATCAATACGAGGTAGAAAATATTAAACGAGGCAAAAGTTTGTTTCTCCTTGGTTTTCGGAAACATTTTGGTTTTCCGACTGCAACGTAAATATTGCATTTTACTTTGTGTGTTGTTCATCACAAGTACAATTCTCTCTCGAAATTTATTGATTTGGGTTTGACAAACCATCCGAACAAAACCGAATACTGGATGATGGCCATAGTTTATTCCGACGCACAGTCCAATATTTATTAATTTATCCAGAACAGAATGAAGAGATTAGCGAACGGATACTGGTCAGATTATTTATCTGGGGGAAAGTATAAAACCACCCAGAACAGAGAACGGAATTCACAGTAGGAGAACGTGCTCGGATCGTTGAACTTCGTGTGAGAAATTCAATCAAAGGTTGGATGACAAAGGACTGGCGAAGGATTGTTATTCGATAGTGAATATTGTTGCATTACTACACTACATCTATGCAATTGTTGCTCAAAGATTGTTCGTCGGACCAGTTGCCATTTTCAAGGGCACCTGGACATGAACTGCAGAAAGCCTGCACACGCAAGCTATGCAGGTAGTTGTCAATAAATACACGTAAAATCAGAGGAAAATGTGATTTTGCGAAGACCATAGACGAGGTCGAAGAGAAATCTGAACTGCCTTTTTACGCATTGCCATCGCCTCTAAAATGCGAATTGACCACTTTCGAGCAGTCATTCGATTATTGGAATACTTACAACGAGATGACACGAAAACTTCTGTTGATACAAAAATGACGGTCGGTTAAAGTCTAACTTATACATCTCCGAGATTGAGTACTCAACTCATCTGTTCATACACTGATGCAATAT